TGGCTCTAGCTGCGCGGGGCCGGGCCGGGCCGGGCGGGCCCCGGTGAGCCCTGCACTTGAGGTCCGCTCGCCCCTGCCCGAGGCCGCGCGCAGGACTCGCAGGACTCTCGGGAGCGCCGCCGGGCGCACCTAGGCGAAGGACAAATGCCGGCCGCCCGCAGCGCGGCGGCCAGCGGGAGCCCGCTAGGGGCGGGGCGGGGCCGGTGGCTGCGAACCAGGTGAGGCCGGCCGCGGGGAGACGAGCTCCCGGAGCTGCGCGTACGCGTCGGCGCTGGCTGAGGCGGGCTGCCCGCCGCCCGGAAGGCCGCCACCCGCCGCCTGGAAGCCGGCCACAAGGACGCCGCAGGGGCTGTTCGTGGCCGGATTTCATTGCCCAGTAGGCGTTCTCAGCCCCGCGCGTTCACAAGCGCTGTGAAGGACGTCGAATATGGGTTGCAACAGCCCTTTGTTCCTTTAAACATGCAGTGACCCGGGAATTGGTTTCAAGTTGCAAACAACGGTGCAGGACGCAGAGTATGCCTGCTTTGAATTTTGACGGAGATACCAGCGCTCCTGGAGCCCGGTGGGTGGCCTAGTGCTTTATGCACGTACCCAGGAATCTGCCCAAGACCTGGAACCTGGGGAGCTGGGCGTCTTGGCTGCCGACGCCCCTCATTCCTAAACGGCAGGAGAGTACAGACGGGTTTGGGCGTGGTAGGTCTTGCAGGTGAATTTTTTTTTTTTTTAATGTAGCATAATGATCATATCTTAAACAACATTTTATGGCCAGAAAAAAATGTATTCGGCCAGCTGGACTCAATTTAGATGATTCCAATTTTGTTGCCAACATCCAAAGCATCATATTCAAGAGGCAGTCACATGCTTTACTTTGTGGGTTTGACCTTGGCCACTCAGTATCATAGAGCTCCTTCACAGCCTATTTCATCTCCTTAGCCTTGACATCCCCAGTGAACACAGTTGCCTTCTCTCTTCTTCAAGGCAGACTCCGTGATCAGGATAAACTTGATGATGGCATAGTGGTCAAGCTTGTTTCTTCTGGGGCCACTCTTCTGAGAATATTTGAACTACCTCTGGAGCTGCCGTGTCTTGGGCAGCTAAAAGGTAGGTGATGTGCAGATCTTTTTTGTGGCCCAGTCGGTCTTCAGAGCCTTTGCTTTGGCTTCAGCTTTGGGATGGGTAGGAGCTTCCCTTTTCACTTTCAGCACCATCTTGACAAAAAGGGTCTCTAATATTTTTAACCATTTTAGAGTGTGTTTCAGTGGTTTTGTTGTATTTTCATAAAATGTGGTCACCACTGTTATCTAATTCTAGAACATTTTTGTCACCCTTAGAACAAACTCCTATACCCATTAAGCAGTTACTCCCCATTTCCTCCTTCCCACAGCTCTAAACGACCATTGATGCAGGAGAATTCCAGTTTTTTTGTGTTTATTATTTTTGCCATAGGCTTTGTGTGCTCTCTGGAGAGACAGTGAGAGAAAACAAGAAATCACCCCCTGGGGTGATGGCCATGCCTCAGTCCTTCTCCTCCATTCTTCTCTCAGGATATTGGGCACACAGGCACATGTGCTAAAGTGATTTTCACGCTGCCAGGCCTGGGACTCGAACCACAGTCAACCATGTGGGAGTCTAGTGCCTTAACCACTATGCTACCTGCTGCCCCCAAATAGATTATTTGGCAATAATTTTTGCCAGTTCAGCTGAAATTTCCATGTATGTCATGACTGTCTCTTGGAAACAGCCCAGAAATTTCACCCTCTCATCCAGGATGGTGCCTTTTTTTACCTCCAGTTCATTCAAATTACCTTTCATTTTTCTTTAGAAATTCTGTTGTTTTCTTATATTATTCCGTAAGAGTCTTGTGTTGCTTCTGTTCTTTGTATTTACTGGCTCTTCTGTGAAAAAGAACAGGTTTTGTCTTTTTCCACCATTGTCATTAGGTTGGGACTTGCAGTGCTTCTGGGTTTGTACCTTGTGGATCTACCCTCTGAAATGGCATCCATCAACCCATGGACCTCCTGGGGTGAGTCCAAATCCTGTTTTTTTTGGTCCTCCCTTGGATGTGACCAGCTGTAGTGATGGATTAGAGTTGGGAGAGACTAAGGACTTCACAGGGTGATAGATTTGTCTGTCTAGGTACAGAAGTAGAAGTATTTGGGAAGGAGAACTGGTTGGGGGAAAACTGTTGTTAATAAAGAATGGGGGACCAACAGATGAAGTAATCACTAGGGCCCTGGACTCCCCTGTGGCTGACCATGGTTTGAGTCGTGGACCTGGTGGCTTGAAACTCATGCCAGGTGTGTGTGCATGTGTGCCCAAAATCCTGAGAAGAGAATGGGATTGCAGGAGGAGGGATTGCAGTGTAGTCATCCACCCTGGAGTGGGGGGTGGATGTATGGGGGTGGGGTGGGGTGATTTCTCATTTTTTGTCTCTCTGTCTCTCAGAAGACAATCATTAGGGCTAACTCTGTGGTCTGGTAGTTAAGTCAGTTGGATCCTGTGTGGTCGACTGCACAGTTCAAGTCTCAGATTTCATGACTTGAGAAACACACTGAGCGCATGTGCATGCATGCCCAAAATCCTGAAAGAGGGGTGAGATGGAGGAGAAGGGATTGTGCCATGGCTACTCTCCATGGGTAATGCTTTCTCCTTTCCTTTCTTACTCTCTGGAGTATACTCATCCTCTAGCAAAACGGTAACAACAACAAAAAGACAGTCATCATGCAATCAAGGTGTTGCCTCTATAGCTCCTGTGGTTTTTATGTTTATTATTTGTTTTTCACTTTTATAGCATTGGTCTGAAATTTAAAGCTTTGGTTTATAATTTTAAAACAATTTTTTTTGAGAGAGAGGTTTTTGCTATAGGGCACATGCACTGAGACAGAAAGTGAGAAATCATCCCCCCTCCCCCAGGGGGATGGCAATGACACAGTCCCTTCTCCTCCATTCTTCTCTTGGGATTTTGGGCACACACGCACACGCAGGAGTTTCAAACCGGGTCCAAGACTCAAACTGCAGTTGACTACATGGGAGTCCAGCAGCCTAACCACTACGCCATCTGCTGGTCCCTAAAAACAGTGTTAATGGGACTGGGAGGAGGTGTGGCTAAGGCGTTGTACTCCCACATGGCCAACTGTAGTTCAAGTCCTGGACCTGGTAGCCTGCATTCCTTTCTCTTGTTGTATTAAGAAATGATAATAAAGTAAAATCATTCTTTAAAAAAATAATAAAATAGAAACAATGTTAAATAATATTGTGATGTTAGTAGCATATTTTTTCTCACATGAGGTTTCATCCACTGAAGACATCAAGAGAGTATTCCGACATTTTCTTCTTTCTTAGTTTGCTATAGGATGTATATGCTCACCAGAGATAGAGAAAGTGAGAAATCATGTCTCCCCATGGGGGATAGCCATGCTATAGTCCCTTCCTCTCTCACAATTTTGGACATACATGCACACACTCCCTGTGTGTGTTTCAGGACCCTGGGTCTGAGATTCAACCATGCAGCTGGCCGTGTGGAGTCCAGCTTTTTAACCCCTGTACTACCTGCTAACCCCAGTGTCCTGCTATTTACATTTAAATAAAGTTAATGTTATGTTTTATCAGATATCTTCCCAGACATTTAACATGGTTTTGCTTTGGGGGCCAGCAAATGGCATGGTGGTTAAAGCACTGGACTCCCACATGGTCTACCATGGTTTGAGTCCCAAACCCAGTGGTTGAAAATCATGCCAAGCACGTGTGTGCATGCCCAAAAGGAGAATGAAATCCCAGAAGGAGAATGAAGGAGAAGGGATTGTGGCAGATCCTCTCCCTGGGGGTTGATTTCTCACTTTCCCTCTCACTGTCTCTCTCTGGTGAGCACACATGCCCTATGGCAAAAACCTTAAAAAAAAAAAAAAATAAGTAAAGGGTTCTGCTTTTATTTGTCCTGTGGCTATGTCATATCAATAAATGTCCTAATAGTGACCCATGTGCACATTTCTCATTAATCTGTCTTAAGCTGGATTTTTTTTAAGAGGTTTTTGCTATAGGGCGCATGCGCTCGCCAGACAGAGACAGAGAGATAGAAAGCGAGAAATCACCCCCCAGGGGGGATGGCCATGACACAGTCCCTTCTCCTCCACTCTCCTCTTGGGATCTTGGGCATGCACACACACATGCCCAGCGTGAGTTTTAAGCCACCGGGTCCGGGATACGAACCGCGGTCGACTACATGGGAGTCCAGCGACATAGCCATTACTCTAACTGCTGGTCCCCGGATTTTTTTTTCACATGCTCTTGTGCTTCATTTATGGAAGTTTGTCATATTCATACGTGAGATGGTTTTCCTCTCCTTGTCTCCTTTAGTCATGAATTTTGATATCACAGTCCTAATCTGATGCTTCTGTGCAGGTGCCCTTGTGGACCAGTCCTGGGAGATGGCATCTGTTGACCCGTGGACATCCTGGGGTGAGTCAGGAGCCTGCGTCTCCATAGCCATGTTGACTGACATGTCGTGGCCTTTTCATGCATTGATCTGCCACACCAGCAATCAGACCTGGATATTGGATAGAGCTTTAGGGCCAGAGTTCGTGATCCAGATCTGTCTGGTGGAAAGCTGGAACAAAGACTGGTCAGGAAACTGTTGGGGCATACCGTGATGGTGGTATCTCTAGGATAGGATATGTGAAAACTAATGTCTCGTCATTTAGGGCTTATTCTCAGCCAGGCTGTGAACGTACACTGCTTCTCAGAAGTGGTACCTTATGGCACATGAAGGGGTCAATGAGGGATTCATGTTTTCAGACCTATTCTTTTTTTTTTGTTTCTTTTGTTTTGTTTTGTTTTGTTTGGGGAGAGGTTTTCACTATAGGGCGCGTGCGCTCACCAGACAGAGAGAGACATAGAGACAGAAAGCAAGAAATCACCCCCCGGGGGGATGGTCATGCCGCAATCCCTTCTCCTCAATTCTCCTCTCGGGATCTTGGGGACGCACGCACACGCACCCGGCATGAGTTTTAAGCCACCGTGTCCGGGACTTGAACCGCAGTCGACTACATGGGAGTCCAACGACATAGCCATTATGCCAGCTGCTGGTTCCCCAGACATATTCTTAACCTTTGAGTCCTAGTTCTTCCATCTATAGAATGAGGAAGTGGGTCTCTTACATCACCCAATGGTTAGGGGCGGGGGTTGACTTTTCTTTCTCCTCTTAGGAGGAACAGCTTATGTGGGTATACGTTTGGCAGGGAGAGCTGCCTCTATGACTTGTTTCTCCTTTCCCAGCTATGTGTCCTCAGGATGCTGTCTGGAACGTGGAAGGGAGCCTTGAGGAGGGGAGGAGGGCTGTTGGGCTCCCATCAGCCCAGGTCCAGGTGAGATGGGGCTTCCTTTTTTTTTTTTTTCATGAAAAGCTACCCTGTTCCTAAAGGATGGGTGTCTAGTTATCCCTGGCCATCCCAGTCAATGTAGTTCTGTAGTTCCTCAATTTACAATAGGTAAGAGTTATATACAGAAGGAATCAACCAGAAGTTAATGCTTCCTGTGCACAGGTAAGAACAGTATTTTTATGACTCCAATTCTTGCTGTCAGCCAGCCATTAATAGAGTGCAGAGCTCCAACTGTTCCTTAGGTTGTTTTAGGGAACAAGGGACAACCCTCTTGATGACAGCCCCTCTCCTCTTTCTTCTTCCCACTTTGACTCATATATTCAGCACCTAATTGAGGCTGAGGTGAGCTATCTACACTATGAGGACCAAAAGGAGACAGATATGAGCCTTCACTATGAAGAGTTCCCAGGTCCCTTTCCAGGGTGATTTACTTAGCTAATGGTACCTACGGCCTGTCTGGGGCCACACATGGTACCGGACTTGAGAAGCCTGAGACACACAGGGAGGCCCTGAGTCCTGAAGCACTCAGCCAGTTGATACCTCTGGAAATGGGGCAGAGTCTATATAGAAGTCAGTGGGAGCACAGAGAAGCTAGGATACTTTTGCTCTGGACATGGAGGCTATCTGGAAGACCTCACCAAAGATGTGAAAGGAACGCATCAGCCTGGTAAGCAGGGTCTGGCCTTATGTAATACCACAAGTGTGTGTTGGAGGGAGGGGAGGTAGCACTGTATTACCAGTGATCTGGGCAAAGATTGACCCTAGTTAGATTTTAGGCTACAGAAACCAATAGGGCCTGATGGACCCTGAATATCTGCTGCAGAGCCAGGGCTCCATCCTACAGGTAATAAAGAGCTTCTAAAATGTTGGGAGTAGGAGGTTCCAGGATCCAAAATGTGGCTAAAATGATACCGATGTGTGTGGGAAAAGAGGCCTTGGGGAGCAGACTGACATTTCAGGTTTCAGTCTGACTAGGGCCTAGGGGCTAAGGAGAAGAGTAAGAGCAGAGAGGTCCAAAGGAGTTGAAACAAGAGACTTTGTGCGGACAAAAGAGTGACTAAGAGAAATAGGACCTTGGAGTTGATGTGAAACAGGTGTCATCTCCACTCCTTCTGTCCAGCTGCTCTACTGGATGTAGCCTCTTGAAAAACCTCATTTTAGGGGCCAGCAGATAAGGTAGAGGTTAAAGTGTTGGACTCCCCTGTGGCCAACCATGGTTCAAGTCCCAGACCCAGAGACTTGAAACCATCAGGCACGTGTGTGTGCATACCCAAAATCCCAAGAGGAGAATGGGATCTTGGCCTTACCCTCTTGGGAGTGATTTTTTACTTTGTCTCTCTAGCAAGTGCACACACCTTATAGCAAAAATGTCTACTAAGGTGCCGGCAGATGGTGTAGTGGACTCCCACGTGGCCAACCATGATTCGAGTTCCAGACCTGGTGACTTGAAACTCATGCTGGGTGCATGTGCATGTGTACACCAGATCCCAGGAAAAGAAGGGATTGTGGCATGGACATCCCCCCAGGGGGTGATTTCTCACTGTCCCTCTCACTGTCTGTCTCTCTGTCTGGTGAACACATGCATCCTCAGGAGGAAAAAAAAAAGTAAGAAAAGAAACCTCTACAAAAAAAAACAAAAAAACAAAAAAAACCTTTATTAAAAAAGGAAACTTCTTTTAACAACTTGTTGAGATATTATTCATGTAAAGTTCACTCTTTTAAAGCATAAGTGGTTTTTAGTAAATTCAGTTATGCAACCAGCACTTGTATCTAATTCTACAATATTTTGATCACCCCAAAAAGAAACCTTTTACTTATTACTAGTCATTCTCTCTTACCCTCCCCCCAACTCCCAGCCCACAAATCTGCCTTCCATCACTATAAGTTTGCTTATCTGGGCATTTCATATAAATGGGATCATATTATATGTGTCTTTTGTGCCTGTCTTTTTTCACTTAACAAAGTTTTCAAGGCCCATTCCTATTGTTGTATGCATCAGTATTTAATTTTTCATTACTGAGAGGCAGCCATTTTAACCTTCTGTTTTGCATTCATTAGGGTTATTTCCATGTAGAAGTTTTTTTTTTAATGATTCTTTTCCTGATTTATCATATGCATTTACTCTATTGATTCCTGGCTATGAAAGATGGATAAAAAAGTTTCATTGCTTTATTTAGGTCTTTTATTTGTAAGTTAAAATAATAGATCAAACACATAAGAGATAACTGGGATATATATTATTTTTACGTTTCAACGTAATGCCTCCCCTTGGATTTATAAAAATTATAGAACTTCCTACAGTTTCAGTGCTGACAAGTGGAGTGCATTGTAAGTATGCCATTCCCACATGGTGGCACTGCCATCCCTGGATACCAAAAGTATCTGAACCGTGAGAATGCAGAGTAGTGGTTGTCTAGCATCAGATCCTGGGTGACTGAGGTTCACTGCTGTTATAATGCACAATCATTTTTAGATCCTATAATAAAATCATAAGAACTGAAGCTAGGTTAGGCTGCAATATGGGTCCTGAATCAGTTGCCTGGGAACAGAAGATAGCTATAGTGAAGTGCTACCAAGAAGCTCTATTAACCCCTGTACTGCTCTGTACTCTTCTGTTGATTTATGTGAGGGTTTCTGAGAATTATTAGAGTTAATGCTGGAAAAAAAATAAATAATTAAAAAACACCCTCCGATGTCTGAATAGTTGTGATTTCTGAGAACATGCTCCTGGCTTCCTCGCCATACTTTGGATTTCTCCCTGTGGGAAACTCAGACTTGAATTATGTGTTTTTAATTAAGTGAGGTCTTCAGGAAACACTACTAAGTTCTGTGTGTCCCTTTATTGTTTCCTTCAAGTTAAATATTTATTGAAATAAAGTTTTCACCTGGTGAAAATATCAAATGCTGTTATCCCTTATTATCTGAATATTCCATTCTTGGAAACATGTTGGATAGCAAAGTTTCAATTAGCAGGAGCCTATATCTCATTATTTCAAAGACAAGAGGAAAATAATACTCCTAGTAGTAGTTATAGTGATAAGACCCCGATTCATCTAGAAACCCCAGCCAGCCTCCCCAAATAGGGAAACACTTCCCAATCCCATTATAATCATCCACCAAGGATTTCTGCATGGCAGACATGCACATAAAACATCAGTAATAGTCTGCACCCATCCTCAGTTATACTCATTTAGTATAGTTTCATTTTCCTTCTGTGCAAAGAGCTTACACTGAGATAATAATGAAATTATACCAGAGAGGCCATCTTAATTATCCCAGTTTCCATGAAGGTGCTATCTATCAGGGAACTCAGATAATAAGCAGTTGATCAAGATCCTCTTGGGCAAACCATTGAGAACCAACTAGACACCTTTGGTTTCATCTCCCTTAGGACCTCAGAAGGTTAAGATGTGGCTGACGTGTTGGCATATTTCCCAAAATGCTTTAGCATTCTTGGGTAAATGCTTATATGTGTGTAAAAAGTGATATATGTAAGACTGTTGAAAGGTATTTAGGTCAAATGTCTTCAAGTCATCTTAGCATGGGATTGGAAAGTACAAGTTCAGCTTATAGGGATTCCCTGTAGGACCAAAGGACTCGGTGAGGAGCAAGGCCATTCTCCATTCTGCAAGTGCAACCTACAGTGTCAGATGACAGTGAAACCTGCATTTTCTCTTCTCTTGGGGAAGACCCATCATTTTCCACAGCTAGTGAGACGAGGTGCCCATCTTCCATTTTTTTCCCTTCCAGCCTCTTGGTTTTGTGTTTTCCCTTGCAATTCTAGGTTGAAGGTGTTCACTGCCCTCTTTCCATCCCTGAGGTGAAACCTCCAGGCTTTGTGGGCCCCAACATGGTAGCATACTTACTGTTTCCTAGTCCACAGGCCTTCCAATTTGATAACATTTTATTTTTAATTCTGGATTCTTTTATTATTATTTGTTTGTTTGTTTGTTAATTTAGTTTGCTATACGGTCCACATGCTCACCAGAAAGAAACAGAGGGGGAAGAGAGAGACAAAGTGAGAAATCACCTCCCCAAGGGGATGGTCATACCATAATCCCTTCTCCACTCTAGTGCATGCATGCACGCACTCCCAGCATGTTTCTCAAACCTGCAGGTCTGGTACTCAAACCACTGAGTTGGCCATGTAGGATCCAACCACCTTAACCACCGTGCCTCCTGACTGGCCCTGTATCTTTTTATTTTAAATTTTGACAGGTAACAACATAAATACAGAAAACCATAAAAGTAAACACTGTGTCTGTCACACTCTGAATGAGTAGTTATTTGTACCGAGCCCGCGGGACGAATCGGGCAGGGAAACTCGAGCGAGGGGCCGGAGGTCTGGATCCGGCGCAGCGTCTCAGCACGGGAGCGAAAGAAGTATCACAGCTCACACAGTGTCACAGCCCTTGATGGTGTAAGGTTTCGCTCATTTATTGAGGGCTAGAGCGCTTTCTTATATACACAAGGCAGAGGGAGGTAGGCAGGGTTTACAGCGGACCTTATTGAGGACCTGTCAGCTCTGTGTGAACCAGGGGGTCTGCATTCCTGGTGTCTGTGTCAAGGTCGCACCGGCCATTTTTAAGCAGTGAAGGTCATGGCAGCCATTTTGATGTGGGC